TATATATATAAATGAATAAAAAGCGAGGTTCAACAGTAGCTTTGATTAGACATTTTATTACTACTTAGTTTCGTACCACACACATGGTGTGACACTCTTCAGATAAAATTGCCTAATGACTAAAAAACATATAAATACATTTGATTGAGATAAGATAAGCATGTGCAGAAAGCCAGATCGGTAATACAAAGGGTTCAATTAGTTCGGTCAGATTAAGGATTGATAAACAATGAATGGGATTAAAGTGATAAACATAAGTTAAGTAGCAACATTACATAGTTACAAAATTTCTTAGAAGAAATTTGTTGGCATGCCTGCATGCTGAAACGAGTTCATTACGTTTATTTACTGTAGCTATTTCCGGTTTGCAAATTATAAAATATTTTTCCCATATGCACAGGTTGCATCTTTTTGATGATGGGTTATATGGTTTAGCTTGTTTGAGAATGTTCCATTTAATATTAAAGTCCATATTTTTTCTTTTAGTCCCCATATGTACTTGCTTAGTTCTGTGTTAAGTCTCTTGGATTTGTTCCTGAAGGAGGCTTTGTGGTTATTGTATCTTGTCTTAAATGCGTTTTCTGTGAGTCCTACGTATGTTTGGTTTGGTTTGTTATTAGCTGTAACCGTTGCCTGGTAGATAACACATTCTTTGAGGCAGTGGCCAGACATTGGGCATTCTTCGGGCTTCCTGCAGTTGCATCCTTTGTTGGTTTGCTGATTTGTTTTCTTGTTTATGGTTGCTTTGTTGTGGCCATCAATGGTCTGTTTAAGGTTTCCAGTACAACTGAACTAATTTTGACAGTGTTTCGATTAAACAATTTATGTAGTGTGTGGTCTAATGGTTATGACGCTCGTCTTGACAGCGAGAGGTCGCAGGTTCGAGTCCCGCCAGAGGAATTTTATTACACAATTTCTATTCATTTATTTACAGGACTACATTCGTTGAGAGCTATGCTACACGATGTATTATTATGTCCTTTATTCGTACACAGTATTTACCTTTCTTTGATGATTTATATAAATAATTTAACAGTGTTAACAGCTATCTTGATTTATATTATATGCAACTATTTGTTTCTAGCCGTACCTATTGTGTAATGGAGTGTATCTGGTGGTATTTGAATCTGTTCAACCATGAAGCCTCCGTGGTCTAATGGTTATGACGCTCGCCTTGACAACGAGAGGTCGCAGGTTCGAGTCCCGCCAGAGGCATTTTATTACACAATTTCTTTATTCATTTATTTACAGGAATACATTCGTTGAGAGCTATGCTACACGATGTATTATTATGTCCTTTATTCGAACACTGTATTTACCTTTCTTTGATGCGCATTGTTATTCAACAGACATATATGCGCATTGTTATTCAACAGACATTATACATTGCTTGTCACCGATTGAATGTGCATATATTTTTGGTCTATCTTAAAGGAATATGGTTAATTAAGTAGGCTTAGATAGAACAGCAATTTTAGACCACCTCGGTAATAAATGCTGTAGGACTCATACACTACCATCTCCCGTTAGCATGCGTGGTACTCCTTAATCGCGATGTTTACATTACAGTTTATGTAGTACCCGTCGTGTGTTTCTCTTTGCTTATGTAAACCTCTATAATAATTGAACAGTTAATAATGCGATCTCAAATTTCGTTTCTATATTTAACGTGAAACAAAGATGATTTGAATATTTTTAGCTGTAATTTCTTAGCTGCTACCTACAAGCTAAACTCTAGCTAAGCCACGATTCTATGTTTGAGAGTAAAGGTTATTTGCATGAAAAGTCTTTGTGGTCTAACGATATCACACTCGCACTGTAGCTCCGTGAACACAATAGAAACAAATAGATTAATAATAATAATAATAATAATGGTCAGATAAGTACATGTTTACAGTGCTACGCAGTAAATCTAATTTGAATATGATTTACTACGATTTCCTAGCTGTGACCAATAAGCCTATCTAGCTTATAAGAAGCTAATAAGACCATCCTTCTTATTAAAAGGTCAGAACTTGTATCCAAATGTAGGCATAGAAAATTTCAAACTGATCTCGGTTAATAAGTAAAACACCTCTGTATGTAAGGGAGCAGTATGTGCTAGCGATCAGTCTATCTGAGGATCGTGATAGTAAAGCATAGGCTAGGCCTGGCCTAGTTAATAATACAGGAACTTGTACCTCGCCTTTTTCCAAGGGATACATACAAGGCGCAATCAAAATAAATTTTTAAAAAGAGATAACCAATTGGGGATCAACAAAGACAATAGAAATGATAAAAAGCAGAAAATTTAGACAGTTAAGTGAGATTTATTTAGGAAAACAATGTTTCTTGAGAAGCCGACGAAGTCGAGGCATTTAAGTATATATCTGGACTTATGCCTTGTTTTTTTTACAAGCCCGGGCACATGTACCTACTACTAGCCCTGTCTCTTATACACATCTAGATGTGTATAAGAGACAGTTCAAACACTGTTAATACGTTTCTTTGATGAGATATATATATATATATATATATATATATATTAGTTTAAACTTGAAAAATGGCCTTTTCAGACATAAATATTTTAAATAATAGTAAAGAAAAAGCAATAGGCTCATAATTTTTTTTAATTTCTGCATTAAATATTTTGTTTATTCAGCTTTAGGCACTAGGGCCAAAGATATGCCAAATAGTGAACTTCATAATACTTCCAAGTGGCAATAAAGTCACAAGACAAATATACACACAAGATACTCTACATTAGACTGAGTATCATTATTAGAGATTAGGAAGTGGAGTTATTTTGGTTGTGAGAAAAACAAACCTTGTTACCGAGACAAGAATTGAACCCAGTACAATGAGATTGGAACGCAAGCATCTTAACCAATAAGGTAGTCAACTCCATTTATCAACCCCATTAATGGTATTGCAAAATGATCTCCTACTGGATAGAATCATAAGTAGATTTCTAATTACAGCAGAGTTCGGTATAGCAAACTGATACTTTGGCTTACAAAACCCACGAAAAAGTCATAGTTAAGTGTATTTACATCGTTGATATCTTTTTATGTATTTGTGTATTGCAATTTTCGCAGATTGTCGGTTGTTGGAATTAACTTCGTTTCCACGTCTTGATGACAGCACAGAGAAAGAAGTCAAGAAATTCGAACACGGTCGTTAAACTCATTCCGCAAAGTAGGCCCATAATCCCACCAATGTCACCTAGAATAAGAAAGAAACAACTTAATGTTCCATTCTAGCGTTCATATCTGTAAGTATTATACTTTTGTAAGCATGTGCATAAAAAAATAAATACCTAAAAGTGCTTCAAAGCCATATGCAGGAATCTGTTGGATTTCCTCTAAACTCAACTCTTCAAAATATATTTTCACGTCCATGTAATTTTTCCTGAGTAATAGAAGGAAAAACTGTGGTAGGAAAAAATTCGTAATGTTGTATAATTTTTTTAGAATAATATGTTAATTTTGATCATTCAATTTCTTATATTACTAAGATATGTCGTTCAGTGGTGTAACGAATGAGAAAATGCATTATGCAATTTAGTATTCGCTTACGAGAGGTCCCTTTACAGTAGAATATCAAACAATACCTTAGCATTGAACTATAGTATACATTTATTTCATTTCGGAATATTTAAATATCAGTTTGTAGTGGAGCCAGGCTGTGGAACATTTGGGGTCGAAAAATGATATTGTATAAATAATAGAGGTGTTGTCATGTGATTCCTCTTAAGACATTCGAGAGTTAAAAACGTCGTACTACGTTGTTTTACGCTCTGCATTATAACGTATCAAGCACTGTACGTTGCTAGTATTGCCAACTACATTTATTCATTAAATTGCTCCCAGTGGTCGAGCACTATCGGATATACCGGCATTGAACATGGAACGTGTGAATTGTGGATATTCAATGAAG